AGATTAATATGTGTGTGTGTGTGTGTGTGTGGGGGGGGGGGAACGCTGCCTGCGACTAATGTGTGACATTGACGTATATCACCCGCATGATATGCATATGGTTGCGACCTGAGTATGTTTATCTGATGTGTGTCGTTTGTTTTGTTGCTGGCTAGAAAAAACCTTTACGCGTTATCAAGGCTTGATCTCGGTGCGCGTTGTTGAAATGTGTGGTTGATATGTGTGAAAGGTGCCTGTCTGACTCTGATGAACGTGTCGGTGATTGATGCATGCGATGGATCTACGATGCCGACGTGTGCAACGGGTGCATGGTTCTTCGTGTGTGCCGGGTATGTCCGTTTCACAATGGGCAGAGCTGCTTGTTAATTTGCCATGTGCATGCCGCGTAGGTCTGTGCGCGTTTCTGATGTATGTCAGTGTTCCATGTGTCACTGGTGTAGGTGCTTGTTGGTGATCAACTATGTACATGGTAGACGTACATTCGCGCACTATGTTGTTGATGTGCGTAATTGTCGCATGTGTTTGACGTATGCGTGCGGTCTTAGCAATGCAGCCGTTGAGTGGTGTCGCTTTTTGTTCACCCCCGCCATGTGCGTTCGAGATGAACGTTGTTGCGCCCATGCGTTGCAATTCATATCTGTATGTATGTTACTTACGCAGACTATTGCAACATGATATTGAGGTGAGCGTGTCTTATCGGTGTGCGGAATGCTGCGTGTTACTGGGGCCTGCTCTCGGCGTTCGTCATCGATTAGTGCGCTGGGTTGCTGGTTATGATGCACATTCGCAATGAATGTGATTAGTGTACGTTCCTGAGTCAATGTCTAATGTATGCGATGTGCATCGGCACTTGTCTGCTACTCATGGCAGTTACTACTGCGCACTCTTCATGCACGTAATGGGTGTATGCTCTTGATGCCAGCGTCAAGCATATGTGGCTGATGGCTGCTCGAAGTGTGTGTGTGTGTGCGTGTGTTGCCGATGCCTGCTCTAAGTACTGCGTCCGTTCCCGATGCCCGCTATGTATGTTGGTGATGTACGTTTAGGACGTCATGGAATCAATGCTGCCAATTCTTGATGTACGCTCTTGGCATTTGCTCTATATGTATGTGGACGGCGTGACGTCGTGACGCCTGGACGGTCTGACACCGTGACACCTCCGTGCGTCACGTGCGCGTGTTATTCATCTGGGTCCTGTACATATGTTAAGCATGTCTGGTTCGTACATTTGGCTTGTATGTCTGTTACTTCTCTACGTTCTGTGTGTATGTTACATGAGCCTGCTGCGTATGTGTGTTATTGGTGCGTGTTGTCCCTGCCAGCTCATTCTGCATGGCATGCGTGTGTGATCTTACGTGTACTCGTTGTGTCGTCACTTGTCGAAGACACGAAGCGGGGGCCCCAAGGATCCCTGGGACACTTGAGGCGTGGCGGCCGCGGCATGCAATCGTCATTCGTCCGCGACGCGAGGCAGGATCCCAAGGGATCACCGGGACCCTTTGAGCGCGAAGCGGACCCTTGAAGCATGGCTGCCGCAGTATGCAATCTTCATTCGTCGGCGACGCGAGGTGGGATCCTCAGTGTACGCCGGGGCCCTTGGGACTTGGTGGCCGCGGTATGCACGGCACGCAGGCCCTGCGAAGTCAGGCTCAGCCTCCCCCTCTTTTCCCTCAGCTTGCCAGTGGGCACCTCTGCGCTGGTGAACATATACGAGGCGGGTCGGGCGCTGTTCTCATTGAGCCACAGGAGCCCGTCGTGTCGAGTAAAAAAAAGCATCATTCTGTCAAAGGGAATACATTCGGAGAGGACGGTGGGATCATCTAAACAGCGACGGCGCCCACGAGCAGTCCTGGAAACCCAGTAGAGCCATCATCGCCCCGGGCGCTGCTGCGGGACACACCCCCTCGAGTATTCCCTCACCGTCAGCCTAAATCGACATACAGTAGCCGAGGGGGGACAGCGAATCAACGACACATGCAGATGGGGGAAGAACCGCTCGCACAACGAACACGCCAGCAGCCGAGGCCCTTCAGTGCGAACACGACCAAAGGAGAAATCGAACGGGGCAAAACTGTCTGGTTTTGTAAGCGCGCAAGGCGTTTTGGCAAACGTCAGCGATGGGGGGGTCGGGTGGATATTCCTCCCTTGAACGTGGCTGGTTTCCCCAGCGCCTCCCACCGCCCAGAGCGACCATGTATCGGGGAAGGTGCCCAGTGGCGGGGCGTAAATCAACTGCAAGCAGTAGATTCCGTGCCGCATGACAAACTAATCGCAACCCACTGGTACCCACCAACCGAAACCGAGAGGGACACATCTCAACTGGCCGAAAAGTCGGCTAGTACCAATTACCACCCGCCATCTGCATCCTGTCAATCGAATTCTGAGTGTGGGGCGTTTGGAGAAGATCCATGAACCATATGAAAAAAACAAACTAACTGTCTGTATATTTGGGGACGCAGCGTAATCGCAAAAAGAGTAGGAATTGGTACACGTCTAATACGATCAATCTGCGACTTGGGTAGTCTTCAGAGACGCGAATAGTGTTGATACTGGAGATCGATGCCTATCGTGTGAGAGTTGTACAGGTGTCATATGGCAGCTGTTAGTGGGTTCGAAATATATGATACGCAATCGGAATATGTATAACTTTCAATTGGGAAGCGTGTAGGCTTCAACAGCGAACCGCCTCGTATGCATATGAACCGCGTGTATGGTCACCAATGCATTGAGCGTTTCAGTCTGCGACGCTGTGATACCAAATGAGAAGGCATTCTTACATACGACACCATAACTTCCATACTCCACGAGTGCAACTACCACATGGGAAGTTGTGGGCTGTCGTGTGACGGTTCGGGAAGCCTGGCGGGAGAACACGTGGTCTGCACGAGATGGCTGTAATAACTCTATCATACGACAGCTGTATCGCTTCCCACTGCACATTGAATGCCACTCATGTGGGAATTGACCGGAACTGTGTTCTTGAGAAATCCGTGTGGCCAGCATTCGGGAACTGGTAGGTTCCCGCTGCTTGCTGTATCCGCCACCGTGCCTTGTGCATGTCGAGGCGTGGAAGACCGCCCAGGACCGCCTGGTAGGGCTCAGTATTCTAGTACTGGACCCCCCCTCAGTCGCGTTCCCCGCGTGCATCGCCCCCCCCCCCCTCCCTCCCGAGGCCACGATCCCTTGTTGTAGAAAAGAAGGATTGAACCATTCTCCCGGGGGGACAACCCTCGTAGGACGCAATGGATCTGCGCCCCGAGCTTCGGAGACGGACCATGCAGGCAACCGAGGACTCCAGGATGGCCCAAGATGCCTCGCAGGCCGCCCAAGATGGCCCCAAGGCGGTCCAATATGGCCTCAAGACGGCCAAGATGCCCCTGAGGGGGCCCAAAAAGGCCACACGAGGACCTCCAACAGTGGCCCCAAGAAGCCCAAGGGTTTTGAATGAGCTTCGAATTCTCACCTGTTCGGGCTTGGATCAGCTCAGGGCGGCCCAGGAAGCCTCCAAGATGGCCCCAAGACTGCCAACGAGGCTCTGAAGAGGGCCTCGAGATGGCCCAAAGGGTCCTACGATGGCCCAAGAGGCATCCAAGACGGCCCTAAGACGGCCTAAGAGGGCCTCCCGTGAAACCCAAAACTGCCTTCGAAGTTTCAACTGCCCAGGCGGGCCTCACGACGGCCCCCCAGACACCCACCATGTGGCCAACGTGCGAAAGAGCATGCTAGGAATTCTACATATAGCTCCTAGAGCACATTCCAGATTTATGCATGGTGGCTCTGCGCATACACAGACGGCTTGAAAGAGAAGGGGCCTCTAAAAGGAAAAAAGGACACCCAAAGTCAAGCCAAGTCCCTTCTCCTCGCGGCCCCGGCTTCCGCTGGTCCCTCCCCTGGCATTGGGCCTTGCCCCGTGGGGGGCGATGAACGCAGGGCAGAGAAGCGTGCACCTCTCGTGCCCAATTTTGGGCCAAAGGGGGCCCCTTTAGGGGCCCCAGGGTGCGCGAAAGGCATACCTCTCTCCACCCCCCATTCGATCGCCCCCCCTCCACGCAGTCCCTGGCCGGCTCCAACGCCCCCCCCCCCCAAACCCCAATGTAGTTGTAGGCGGTCGCGAGCAGCACCGAATACAGCGCGGCGGCGAGCGCGCCGGGGCTGCCCCCCAGCCGCCACACGTGGGGCTCGGCGCCGTGCACGCCGAGGGGGGGGAGGAGAGAGGATCCTCCTCCCTCTCCTCCTCGATCCTTCTCCTCGATCCCCCTCCTGAGTCCTAATCCTCGATTCTCCTCCTCGATCCTCGATCCCCAACCCCCGTGCATGATCCTCCCCGATCCTGGACCCTGCTGTCCGAGCCTCATCGGTCCTCGTCGTCCTCCTCCTCCTCCTCCATGATCCTCCTCGATCCTTCTCCTCCACCTCGATCCTCCTGCTCCTCATCCGCGATCATCCTCGATCCTCCGTAATACTCCTCGAGAATCGATCCCCCAGAGGAGGGATCGAGGATAGAGGCAGGGAGGGGTGCCGAGGGCCCCAGGGAGCACGATCGCGGCGGCCACGAGGAAGGCCGCGGACGCGCAGAGGGCCGGGGGGTAGGCGTGGACCACCTCCTTCCAAGAGTCGACCTACACAGTGTTTTCCGTTTTCGTGCTGTGTTCGTTTCCCCTCGCTCTCTCATCGCCCCACCTGTGCTGCAACACGCAAGCAAAAGGAAGATGGCCCACAAGATCGTAAAAAACACTGTTTAGCTCGAGCCCTGCTGCGCGAGGCGGGGATCATCCATAATGACCGCCTGTGGAATAGACGTGCTGGCACCCCAGCGGGCGGTGGATGTGGATACATGCACGTCGGCCCCAGGTGGCATGAACAGATCCATACCCGCCGCGCCACGAAGCTTCTGCTATAAGACGTCTCGGCGCGCGCGTCACCCCTGGAAAGGGCGACGTGCAGTAGCAGCATCTTAGGCTGACGCCGGTCGGATGCTTCCTTCTGCAGGACCGTGTAGAGGGCACCTCCGCAGACGTTCACGGCGAGGAAGAGCACGCCGCGCGCGGGCGCGCGGTCCTGCGGCTCTCCGGCGCCCTGCGGCTGCCCCGGCGGCGCGCCGCCGCTGCCACCTGCCCCGCGGAGAGGGAGCATGTACGGGCTCCTCCTCCTCCTCCTCCTCCTCCGCCTCCTCCTCCTCCTCCATTCCTTCTCCTTGTAAATAACTTCTCCCTGTCGCACCCCGAGGCTAGTTTTTAGGGCGGGCCGGGCGTTTCGCCTGAGACTTCCTCACCACTTATGACTCTGAAGCTTAAAAAATGGCGACAGCTTCACAGATGGAGGGCGAGTCGTTTTCAACATGTGGCTCTCGCCTTCGCGCCGCGTACATTCGTTTTAAAATTTGCAAGAGTTTCTCGGATTCAGGGCGGGTCGTTTTCAACATGTGGCTCTCGCCTCAGCGCCGCGCACATTCATTCGTTATAAAACATTGTGAGGTTTCCACGGGTTCAGGGCGGGTGGTTTTTTTAATGTGGCTCTCGCCTTAGCGCCGCGCACATTCATTCTAACAATTTTCAAGGGTTTCGCGGATTGAGGGCGGCTTCTTTTCAAAATGTGGCTCTCGCCTCAGCGCCGCGCACACTCGTTTTAAACAGTTGCAAGACTTTCACGGCTTGAAGGCGGTTCCTTTTCGAAATGTGGCTCTCGCCTTGGCGCCGCGCACATTCGTGTTAAAATTTGCAACAGCTTCACGGATTGAGGGCGGTTCCTTTTCAAAATGTGGCTCTCGCCTTAGCGCGGCGCACATTCGAACGTAACATTGCAATTGCTTCACGGATTGAGGGCGGGTGGTTTTCAAAATGTGGCTCTCGCATGAGCGTCGCGCACATTCGTTTTTTGTTCACGGGTCCCCATCATCAACCTACCAGAAATGGTGTTTTGGATGGGGTTCAGGATTTTGCGGGCGCAACAGTTACGTTGGTTTTCTGTGTTGAAGTCGTAGGAATGGCCGTCTGGCACGATTCAGGATCGTCCAGACGCAACAGTCAGGTTGATCCGTGGCGTTGGAATCCCGAAAACCATTTTTTCTGGCGTGCTTGGAGGTCTTTGAACGGGTGTCTTCCAACGAGGCAGTTCCCTGAATGGAAATGAACTGCCGTAGGGGGCTATGAAGAGGGAGCTTGGAGGGAGGGTTTACTCCAACATCGTTGATGGCTCTTGGGTTTACACTGGTCCTCCTCCTCCTCCGTCTCCTCCTCCTCCTCGTAGCGTGTCGCTCCGCCCCGCGGGGCGGGAGGCTCGGAAAGGCTGGCGGGACATTCCCAGACATTGCCGCGTCGTAAAAAAAATCAGGACGGGCGGCTTTTGTCCAATTCCGGGACCGTCAAAAAAACAACCCAGGACGAAAAACTGGTCCCGGTGAAAGGGTCGGGACTTCCTGGGAAACCGTACTGACAAAAATCAGGACGTCGCCTGTCTGGGTTGACGCTTGGGGACCCAGAAATAGATAGCACGTCGCTCCGACGAGGGTGGGCCAGAACCCAGCAGAGCGAGACGCTATCTATACAAAAGATTCCCGACCGCAGGGGGAGACCCGCTCTGGGAGAAAACACCGAGGTGGGATTGGAGAGACATCGCCGAGAAGTCGGCGATGTACGCCCCCGACAGCTCAGCCGCACGTTCCTGGGCGGGGCGCGCCATCGGGCCCCTGCCGGCGATCCATGGGCGATTGGTGGTCGATGCATACCTTATGTCGGGCCTGTCCCCCCACAGGGGGATGTTCGACGAAAAAAAATACCCCAAAAATAATCCAAAAATAATCCGGGGACCATTTTTTTGTACTCTTTTGACCTTTTGGGGGCATTTTTGGGATTTTTTTATTTTTCGTCGAAAATCCCCCTGTAGGGGGATAGGCCCGACTTAGTGCATACCCCCCGAGCCCGTCACCCCCGAACGTTGCCCACGACCTGCGCCCCGAGGCCCCATGGACACCACCACCACGGCGCCCACAGCGGCCAGCACGATGCCCGCCGCCCGGCGATTCGAGGGCGGGCGGCCAGAACCAGCCACAGCACGAATCTTCGTCGTGGGAGGCGGTGATCGGGACCGGGGCTATCAAACATCGGTCCTGGACGAAGCACTACACCCAGGGCAAGGGGTCGGGAGCTCAAAAGGCCGCGGGTTGAACCACACAACTCGGGAGACGTGTGGGCGAGTCCCTGGAATCTGGGCGCGGTCGGCTTATTTGCGCTTGGCGTATTCGCCCGGTGTCGGGCCCCACAGGACCCTCACGTGTCCGGCTCAAGAAGTGCCGCAGCAATAGGCACAAGGAAAAGCGACACCACCACCACCAGGGACCAGAAGCGGGAGAAGCCATTGGGAGGTCCCCCTGGTGGTGTGGTCCACCCCTCTCGCTCGAGATATCTCCTATCCCCACCCGGCTTCGTGGACCTCCTCGCGGCTGGAGGTGACCCTTCTTGTGGTGGTGGTGTCGCTTCCCCCTCCCCAGAAGAAGCATGGGATCTGGCTTGGAGGCGGCCAGGGGGTCTGAACTGAATGCGTCCCGAGAAAATCTGTCAAGAAGGGGGGATAAAGAGCAAATCCACCCCAAATCAGTCCCCATACACCTCCCAAGGTTCGTCTGGTGCAATGCTTCAGTCCGGATCCGTTCTCGAAGGCCCAGGGCCCGAAAACGGGCCCCATGGCATGGAGGCCGAATAGAGCAAAAAAACCTTCTCGAACCCAGACCCTCGAACCTTCCGCCCCCCTCTTCTTGCTGGCCTGGAGCAGTGCTGGGCCACCTCTGAACCCCCAGCCGGCTCCAAGGTCTGGAGCGTCGGTCGTGATTTCTCACAGTGCCGGTTTCGCGACGTGCAGGCTGGAGCTGTTCCCGGCCGCCCGGAGAGGCGCTCCACGCCGAGGAACACCGAGACGACGCTGGTGTTAGGTCGGGCATGTCCTCCTAGGGGGGGAACCTGGGCGAAAAATCAAAAATACTCGAATTAAAAAATGAATCCAGAGATGGTAGAAAAATAGTCCCCATACTAATTTTTATATTTTTGTATATTCCTCCTGTAGAGGGACATGCCCGACTTAACGCTGGTGACGACGGGCACCAGCGGCTGCAGCGCGGAGACAGTGAGTGCCGGCAGGCGCTGCAGCGCCAGGACGCCCGAGGAAGAAGACACGGCACGAACGCAGGCTTGCGGAGGCCCTCGCAGGCCTCTTGCTTCTCTCGGCGGTCGTCCAGCCTCGGGATGCGTTCCCAGCCATGATCGCGTCGTTGAAAAATCAGGACGGGTGATTTTTGGCCAATTTCGGCCTCGGGGGGGGCCCTCGCCGGGCCTCGGGACCGTCAAAAAACGACGCAGGATGAAAAACCAGTCCCGGGGAACGGGTCGGGACTTCCAGGGACCCCGTATACTGAAAAGTTCAGGACGCCGCATGTCTGGCATGCGTTCCAGCAGCTGCGCCTCGCCGAGAGGGTTCTGGGGGTGCCAAAATCGTCCCGAAGCGCCACCGGAGGCCCGAGGCATCGATCGAAAGCCACAGCCTCCTCGCTCGGCCGCGCGCCGATGGGGGACGCGAGAGGGGACAGGCCCTCTCGGGAGGCGGCGAGGGCTCCTCGCAGGAGGCCTTCTATATATCCTTCCGAAGAGGCTCGCCCGAATGCGCCTCCCCCCCCCTCGGCGAGCCGCCGCTTCAGAACTCTCGAACGCGGTCTGATGGCGCGCGGAGCTTCGTGCTCCTGGGTCGTGCGGGCGGGGCGCGGAACTAATCTGGCGGCTCTGCTGCGCGCGCGTCGCCGGCGATCTGCGACGGAGCTCCCTGGCGCTGCCCCTCTCCGGCGCCGCCCCTGGCTCGCGCTCCCCGCGCGCCAGGAGGAGGGCCGTGGCGCGCCTCCGATTTGGCCGCCCGAAATGGGTACGGAAAAAATGGGCACAATGCGCAACAGCAAATGCTGTCCCAAACCAGCAGCGGCCGCTGTTGGGCGGGCGGCCTTCTGGCTCGAATGTACACAGGCCGCGGCGATACCGACAGCGAGTCCTGCTCAAAATGAACAGGAACTGCGGTTGGGCATTGTGCCTATTCTTCCCGTACCCATTTCGTTCGTGCCGATCCGAGAGCTTCACGAGTGTGACGCCTTTTTTCTTCCTCGGGATGTTCCCGCCCACGTTGCACGCCATGAGCGCGCCCAGCAGTACCTGACGAGGGAAACGAGGGGGTGGAGGCTGCCCGTACCCATTTTGGCCCAGATCGGTTGCGCTCGCCTGTGCGGCTTCAGGCAGGCGCTGAAGGGCACTCCCGCACACTCCCGCACACTGCAGTGGGGTCGCGCAGGATGTGCAGCGATGCGGCTGGTCGTTGAGTCGCTGAAGAGTCTTCGACCACACATCATCTCGACATTGCTGGGATTTGATCTCGCCACTTCGTCAGGGGGGGAGTTCGAGCAAGTCGAGGCGGCCAGGTTTCGCCCATTGTCTTCGGTGTCGGGAGGCCGTTTGCGGGCCTCGGCGCCGTCGACACCCAAGAGGCCCCCGAGCGGCCTGAGAGAGCCCAAGATGAACTCCAAGATGGCTCAAGATAGCCCAAGCTGGCTCAAGATGGCTCCCAAGATGCTCCAAGAGGCCCCAAGACCGCGCCAAGACGGCCAGCATACTAGACAGACTTGTGAGGTACCAGACAAACAATGGAGGGCCACGGCCTTGGCTTGATCAACGCTGCGGTTCATCCCACGACGTCGGATGACTGGGAGCAAACCCAGACAATAGCCAACTCGGTCAAATCGATACAACCGTGTTTTTTTTTTTGTGTGTGTGCGTATGCGTGTGCGTGTGCGTGTGCGTGTGTGCTTGCGTGTGTGCGTGTGCTTGCATGTGCGTGTGCGGGGAGAAGTGTTTCGAGTCTTGGAGGCCAGCTCGGGCGCCAGGACCACCAACCAGCAGTCAAGCCGGCCCCCGGGGAAGGGGTCGAGGGCTCCGGGGGCCCACGCCTGCCTCGCAGGGGGCTAAACATATGTGGAGTGCAGGCCGCCTGCTGCTGCGGCCGACGTCTGGGCGCGAAGCGCGGGCGCCGTCGGGAGGGCCAAGCAGGACCTGGACCCCAGGGCTCACACCTCGCACATCTGGCTCCGAAGGAAGTCCCGTGGCAGGGGCTGCGCATCCACGTCTTGCATCTGCTGCACGAGCCGCGCCCTGGCAGCCCTGGCAAACCCCGGGACCCCCGCTTCGTCCTGCGCCGCTTCCCGACTCGCCCCCCGGGGCCCGGCGGAGGGCCCCGGCGGAGGGCCCAGGGCGGAGAGCCCGGGCGCCTCCGTGAGGCGGCGAAAGAAGGACTCTCCGCGGGCCGTGCCGCTCGGCAGACTGCCCTGCCCCCCCGTGGCCCACCGCCCGTGGACAGGGGCGCGAGGTGCGCGGTGGAGGTGTGGCCACAGCCACCGCCGTGGGGGGGAGCGAGCCTCGGGGGCCTCGGCGGGCGGCGGAGGGGGGGTCTAAGCTCATGTTGCTCCCCTCGTACTTCAGGACCACTCGGGAGCGGCCAAGAGGGGGGTGTCCAAGAGGGGGGGGTGCAAATCATGACCGGCGGCATGTGCGCGGCCCAGAGGTGAGGCCAGGGGCGTAATGAAATAAGAAGAGGCGCCATGAGATCTGGGAAAATATCATGGCCACCGCCATGATATCCCCCCCCCCCTAGTCATCACCCCCCTCTTTTCCGCCCCCGAACCACATCCCAGAAACAATTGCGAGCACCCGGAAAAGTGTCGAAAGAGTGTCGAAAGCGTGTCTCCCAGGGCCCGACGCGTGCAAACCCTTGAGTTTGGGGGTAGTTTTATGGCGCTCGAAATTTTTTCTCCTGGTGATCAAGGCTCCAGTAGGTAGGAACATCATAAATCTAAGCTAGCCCCCCCCCCCAGGGCCCGCACGTAGCTTTGGCCACAGGCTGCTGACGTCCCCGGAGGTCGATCCCCCCGGCGGTGGTCGTGGACAAACCTCCCCGCCTCGGACTCCGGGGCCCGTTCCGCTCGGGACCCCCTCGCCCATGAGATCCGACGCCGCAGTGGCCACAGTGCGAAAGAGCAGGCTGGAGCCCTGGACCCTGGGCTGGACTCGACACCTCATGTCTGTGCTGCATTCTTCGAGCGAGATCGATCCGTGATAGCCTCAGAGCCCGAAGTCATCTGACGAAAACGCCCGCTACGAGGAGATGCTGCAACATCCGGACCTGAGGCTCCTTCGTGGCGATGGTTGCATGGAGAAGGGTCCTTCGTGGCGGACCAGAGGGTCCTTCGTAGCGGATCCGAGGGCCATTCTGCGGCAACTCATGAGAGCACCCCCATACCATCTTGGTGGCTCTTGCGAATTGACGCTTGTTCCACGCTGATGGACGCGAATCGTCCTTCATCGACGCGAATCGTCCTTCATCGACGCGAATCGTCCTTCATCGACGCTCATTCGGCGCTGTCCCATTGCTTATGCCAGACGCTCGTCGACGTCGATGCACCCCAAAAACAGAACCTTACGAGGGAACACAAAGGACCCCCTGAGGATGTGATGCAGCGGAGGCCAGTCCACGAGAAACCCAGCCCTGAGACCCCAGGACGCCTACCGATTTTTGGTGTGGGAACGACGTCACGCTGCCCATAGCAGAGCCATAGGAGCCCCAAGACACTCGGGGCACCCTGGAGGCAGGCAGGGGATGCTTCTTGGCATGGGCCTCCACCGCACCGGACACACACAAAAAAAAAACGGAGGCACGAAGCGCGGGCGGTCGGCCGCCGCGATCTCGGCCAGGCCGCGCGAGGGCGCGGGCGCAGCGCCGCCTGGAGCGCCGGCGCCGCAGAGGCGGTGCACGAGCAGCATCGCCAGGGAGCCCCCGCAGCAGCGGTAGGCCGCGAGGACGAGGGGGGAGGCGCCCGCGCCCTCGATGGCCGCCTCTCGCCGTCGTCGCCGTCGTCGTCGCCGTCGCCGTCGTCGCCGTCGCCATCGCCGCCGTCGCCATCGCCGCCGTCGTCGTCGTCGCCGTCGTCGTCGCCGTCGTCGTCTCCGTCGTCGTCGTCGTCGTCGTCGTCGTCGTCGTCGTCGTCGTGTTTGGGCTGGCGCCCCCGTGAATTGGAAGGATGTGGTGCCCCAGTCCAAGCGTGCCCGCGTGCTGCGGCAACGCACGGGAGCCTCCCATGCCGTCTTCGTGACGCTTGCGGGTCGAGGCTGGTCGACGCCAGTCGACGCTGAATCGACGCTGGTCCCACCAGCCCTTTAGGGCTTTAGTGATTTAGAGCGCTGCCTCCTCCAACCCCTTTTTGTTTCCCCTCGGGGAAGGGTTTGCCTCTCCCATCCCCCCCTCCCCCTGGGTCTGGAGGGGAGGGGCCGCGGGTAGTTAAAGCGTCCAAGATGGCCTCGGCGAGAAAGCCCAAATCATTGATTTGACGACAGTCTTGCCAACGTTTTGGCCTCCTTGGGGGGGCAAATTGGAACCTCCCCCTCCTTTGATGGGTCTCTTCGAAGATGGCTTCAAGATGGCTCCTGTGGCTCAAAAGGGTGCCCCAAGACGGCCCCAAGAGGCACCCAAGAGGCCCCGAGAGGCCCCCAAGAGGCTCCCAAGATGCCCCCAAGAGGCCCCCCCGAGGCACACAACACGCCCCAAGACGCCTCGGCGGCGCGAAAGCCCAAATCATGAATTTGATTATGGTTTGGCACGCATGTTTTCCTCCAGAGGGGGGGCCTAATGAAGGAGCCCCCCTCCTTTGATGGATCTTCGCCAAGATAGCCCAAAGATTTCCCCCGAGGACCCAAGGGTGCCACAAGACTGCCTCAAGAGGCGCCCAAGACTCTCCGAGAGGTTCCTAAGAGGCCAAGAGGCCCCCCAGAGGCACCCAAGATGTCAGACATCCGAAGAGACTACGAGGGGCATCCAGGAGGCCTCTGGTCTTTCTACTCGCCCTCCTCTTCCTCTTCCTCCTCCTCCTCCTCCTCCTCCTGCGAATTCCTCCTCCTTCCTCCCCTCGTGGGGTACAACGTCTTACACAGGCCTCCATTCCACTGCATGCTCCTCCCTGATGTGGGAAACTCGTCTGGGTATCGTTTCTAGATGAGCAGGCAGGGTTGCGCGCAGCGTCTAGAATCGACGCTCATCGACGCTAGTCGACGCTAAACTGGCGCTATCTCGTCAGTCACCAGACGCTAATTGCGGCGAGTGCAATCTAAAGACGTAATTGCGTTGGTACACGAGGCTCCCACGATTTACTACTGAACCCGCGCCACGAGAACATTACGGCATACTATTGTTGGCCGTGTTCGGCCTCTGGGGCTCTCGCCGGGCCTCGGGGCCGTCAACAAAACGACTCATGATGAAAAACCGGCCCTGCCCTGATCATTGCATGCTGGAATTTTACAGCCGCGTTCTGCGAGGTCAGTCGCTACCGAGTTTGCTTCCAATTCTGGGATCGTTCGCGACCGATTTGCTTCAAAATCGATCGCGACCGATCGGTCGCGACCGATCAAGACCGAACATAGATGGCATCCAAGGATCCAGGTGGGGCCAGGCACTTCCGCGGGCCGCCCACGACCTCGATGGCCGCCTCTGGAAGGAGCTCGACGTATCCACCACGTCGCTTGGTCGGCCACGAGCCGATGGGTACAGACGCCCCTTGCTGCCCAGCCTGTGGAACGCTGATCGGCGGCACGCCCAGGGAGGCAGTGAGGCGTAGTATGGGCTCTGCGGTGAGCAGCATGTGGTGAGCAGCACGTGGTGCGAACGGTACAGGCTGCGTGATCTAACATTTGTGTAGGTGACCACTCGGGGATGGACAGACCTCCCCTTTAGTAAAACGTGGTTTAGTGGAAACGACCTGAGGCCCAAACCTGGCGGGCGCAAGCCTGGAAAATAACGGCCACGGCGCCATCTCGAGAACCGAAAACGGACAATTCACTAATCGACGTGTCACTGTTGGGGGTTCTGTCCACCCCCGATAACATGTAGGTAGGTGACCTGTATGGTGCAGGCTGCGTGGCGCAAGCCGTGTGGCGTAAGCCCAGCGCGCGAGGCGCCCGCGAGCGCCCACGGGGCGGCAGGGGCGGCAGCGTGGCGCAGCCTCGGCGGACCTAAACCAGCGCACGGGGCGCCGTCGAGCGCCCACGAGGCACGGGCGGCAGCGCGGCGCAGCCTCGGCGGACCCGCCTAGCGCACAGGGCGCCCACGAGCGCCCACGAGGCGGCACGGGCGGCGACGTGGGAAATCCTGGCAGGCCCGTCCAATCACGTGAGCAGCCGAAAGAAGAACCCCTGGGTGCAAGGACTGCTCTGGGAATGAGCATTTGGGCCGAAAAAGCCGCGTGCGGGCAACGGGTCGTGACTTCCAGGGGGCCCCGTGCAGCAGTCATCGGGCTGCTCAGACAGGACTGAGCACACGGTGCGAATGGGCTTTCTGGACACGGCGAATCTGAACGAACAGCTTCACGACCCCACCCTACGGAGCGGCCCGTAAACAAGAACCCCTCCTGAGCCGCAATTCGTCCTTACCTCAGCGTCTTGGCTGCGCTCAACCAAATCAACCAACGGGCCGGGATGGCCGCCTTGGCGATCAGCGCCCAGCTGCCGTACACGAGCGCCACCGAGGTCACCGCCGCTGGCACTGCCCATGGCCGCGCGGCCGCCTCGTGCCGCTCTTTGGCGCTCTCGCCGCTCGTGGGCTCCTCCTCTGAGAAGTGGGAGCACAACCGCCAGACTGCTCGCCACATTTCGCAGCCCCTCCTCCTCCTCCCCCTCCTCCTCCGCCTCCGCCTCCGCCTCGCTCCTCCTCCTCCTCCTCCTCCTCTTCCTCCTCCGTGCCGGATGCAGGATCGATCGGCGTCGAACTGGGAAATCGCACCGGATCGGAGCGTACATCGAAGGAGGCCGCACCGGCACGGAGCCGCAGCCGAACCTGACGGGCCGCGCCGGGAAGCACAACGACGCCGTGCGAGCAGCGGGCCGTTCCGGATCGGGTCGAGCCAGGCGGTTGCAATCAATCTAAACCATGGACAATCACCATCATCTTCATCATCATCTTCTCCCACCCCCTTCGCCTCCCTCTCCTCCTCCTCCTCCTCCTCCTCCTCCTCCTCCTCCTCCTCCTCCTCCGCGTCCCCCCGCGACCCCCCCTCTCCCCGGCGGAAGTATCGAAACGGATCGATCAGATCAGTCTAAATCATGGACCATGGGATGTGCGGTTCGGCCACGTACGCGAGATCAGTTCGGTCCGGCCTGCGTGTCAGCTCCTGCGGAGCTGCCCCCGGGAGGGGCAGGCGGGACATAGGTATGCAGCACGCGTGGAGACCGACGCGCACGGCCAGCAGGCAAAGTGGCAACCGGTCGGCGAAGGTGACGAGGAGGGGGAGGAAGAGGAGAGGAGGGGCCACCTGTGCGAGGATCCCAAAATGTACAAGCTTGCGGCGTCTGGACTTCTGCACACGCACGTCAGAGGGCCGATCCCTCAGGACTCCCAGCGCACGCGGCCGGTGACCATGGCCCCACTCCGTCTGGACACCCACGACAGCTTGAGGCGGCACGGGGCCGAGAGCTCCGCGCCGGCAAGCGTGCTCTCCAGGATAAGCGGGGGGGGCCCAAACAATCGCCAACCTCCAAATCGAATAAGCTCTTTTTGCCAAGCCTTCTCTCGCGGCTGGGCTCCCCAGCTGCATCTCGGTAGCGCGCAGATGGGTCTTCACACCGGAACCGTTCCACAGTGAAAATCCATCTGGGACCCCCCACTGCAAACAAAAACGCACTCGGGGATGAGATGCAACGAGCCCAATGAAGCCTTCTGCAAGCAGCCCAACAAGGCCTGCTGTAAGGAGCCAAATGAGGTTTTCTGCAAGGAGCCCAATAAGGCAAAGAGACGAATAAAAACTTCTGCAAGGAGCCCAATACGGCCTCCCGCAAGGATCCCAATAAATCCTTCTGTAAGGAGCCCAATCAAGCCTTCTCTGAGGGAGCCCGAGAAAGCGTCCCAGAAGGAGCCCAATAAAGCGTTCTGCAAGGAACCCAATAAGGCTTTCTGTGAGGAGCCCCAGGAGGGGAGCTGACACTGCCAGCAACTGGCCTAGCTCCTGCAACTGCCAGCGCAATTTACTCCCACCTCCCGTTGGCGTAGTTCCCCACCCTTCCCCAACCTCTGGCCAGCGCCAGCAATATATATATATATATATATATATATATATATCCACACACCTTGGCAACCACTCGGTAGCAACACCTGTTGCCGCGCCAGCTGTCCTGAACGCGCCCTAGCCGACGAAGCCGACACCACGGCAAGCCCACGGCAGAGCCACGGCAAGCCCTGCGCCCGAGGCGGCGTCTGCCCTGGTGGCCGAGAGGCCCTCCACTCGAGGGGGAGGAGGAGGAGGAAGAGGAGGAGGAGGAGGAGGAGGAAGAGGAGGAGGAGGCGGATCAGGAGTACCGGAGTGGCGCCACATACTCCTCCCCCATGCCTTCAACTGCCAGCACGACATCCTCACCCCGTGGAGTAAGACCGCCAGCGACTGATCCAGCTTCCCAGGCCTAGTACTGCCAGCAACACATCCTCATACCCGCGCGCTCACATGGAAGTGCAACCGAAATATCCTCATCCTCCGCGGCATACAACTGAACTGCAAATTACAGATCCTCAGACTCGGCAGCCCGCATGAAATTGCAATCCGAATGTCCTCACACACCCGCCTAAAACTACAACCCAAAGATCCTCACACCCACCTATCTTCATCAGCCAGCCCCACAATTGAACCAAACACAAGATCACCCTCTCTCCAAAACCTGAAGCCCATATCTCCCCTTTCCACCTGCCTTGATAAAACTACGACACCAAATATCCGAACACACTCGTGTAAAACTGCGCCCCACACCCAGACTGTCCTCACCCAACCGCCAAGCACCGCAAAATAAATGTCTTCATCCTCTCTCCCAAAATTGCAACCGGCATGTCCTCCCACCCGGGTGCAATGAACATCTGACGGGCCTGGCAATCCAGCGCAGTGAAATTCAGCCTATTTCGCGCATATCAGATTCGTGGCTGCGCCCGTCAACTGTTCAGAGGTCTGCGCGGGCTCCTGGGGTCGATTGGATCCCCCTCCCTAGCACGCGAGGCGCGCCGGGGGCGGCACCAAGGCGGGGTCCAGCGCCGACCAACAAAAATCCGCGTGGACCTTCGAACGTGTACGGTCGGGGACTCTTGCTCAGCGTCTCGCGGCAGCGGCCCCGGCGACACGCTGTGCACTGCGAGTGGATAGCGTGCCGCTCCGCTCCGCCGAGCGAGAGGTTTGGAAATGCTCGGGACATTGGCGCCGGGGGACCGGACGTCGACAGCGTGTCGCTCCGAAGCGTGGTGGGCCAAATCTGGCGGCGCGGCACGCTCAGCCGAAGTTCTGGAGCGTAGGTTTGGAAACTTTTGGAGCAATCTGGTCCTCGTAGGTGCCACTCGCAGGCTGGGGGCCCCAGCGAGCAGGCGAGTGGGCCTCGATGGTGTTGTGTGCCGCTGCGTGGCACGCGGCCATGGCGGCGTGCTGCCGTGGGCCTGGCACGATCGGCACGCCATGCTAGTGCAGCTGGGGAGGTGGCTTGGGCCAACATTGACTTGCATCAGCATGCCTGGGGGGCTCCCATACGGTGAGAGCATGGGATGAGGACCCATTGGAGAAGGAATCCAGGGTCTGGAGTCAGTGGTACTCCAATCGTGGATTGGCCATGGATACCACCGATAACATCGTCAGATAAGGAATCCTCCAGGGTCGCAAGCCTTCTGGGCACATTCGTCAACCAACGCCCCCACCGTACTCATATAAGCGCGTGTACTTACAACTCCTACTACTTTTCTCCATGGGGCGCTTCCCACTAACACTGGCACCACTGTAACTATCACGACCACCACCGCTCACTGCTTCTCACACCAGCCCAAGTTGGCATCCTGGCAGTGCTAGTCCCCAGCGGATAACCCAGCGCAGCTTACATAGCACATCAGAAAATACCATACAGACAAACAGAAAGACAAGAGCCGCTCCAAGACGGCGCATTGACAAGAAAACTGTGGCAAGCGGCGGCGTAGCTAGGCACATGCAACATAACTGAAATAATGGATTGCGCTGCAGGCGGCTCGGTTGCAGACCATTTACGGACTTTGTACCGAATGGGAGGCGATGCGAGGAAGGAGAGGAGGAAGTAACCAAACCACTTCTGCTTGAACCATATTGTGACGGTGGCATGCCATCAAACTTCGTTCCCTAGGAGCCTCTGGAGAATGCCATAACACCTATCATGATTCGAGGCAACATGGCATAGCAGAGTGGCCGAACCCTGGCCCCCAAACAAGCGACGACTCAGTTCTTCCGCTGTCTAACTACAGCCGACCTTCCCCCACTTTCCGCTGGCTTCCGCCGAGGGCGAGGCTGCGCCGAAGGCGTGGACCTTTCTGGAACGACCCAGCGTGGTATGCCACAGAGCACTGCATACCGTATCGTAGTTCAGCAGGGCATCTGCGCGATGCGCCGGAGCCCGAAGGCCAATCATAAGGCCGCCAGAGTCCCAGCGCCAAGGAGCCAGCGGCGCAATCGAGCCCGCGAGCATTGGCCATGTGGACAGTAAAACAAGCAGGGGGACTCTCAGCCAGGCATTGCCTGACTTGGGCTTAGATGATGGTTAAAAGGCTGGGGGCGTCTCTTCCCCGTTTTCAAAATCGATGTCATTCTGCCCATCTTGGCGTCGGTTATTTATTTATGTTGTGAGATTCTCGTTGGCGCCGTTTTCGGTTCGGTTCCGTTTTGTAACGCTGTTTGATTCTCTTGTGGGCTGCCGCTTTGTCCACGTCTTGGTTAGCCAATAACAGACAAGCTGACAACTAAAGCAACATGCCCCCCGCGTTTTCATAATCAGAACAGGACTTGGGACCAGGACCATCTACGGTCGGGAACTTCTGCTTGGCGTGTCGCGGCGGCGGCCCCAGCGACACGCTGTGCCTGGCGAGCGGGCAGCGTGCCGCTCCGCTGCGCGGGGCGCGAGGCTTCGACATGCGCGAGACATGGACGCTCGTGGGAGGGGGGAGGTGGATAGCGTGTCGCGCCGCAGCGTGGTGGACCGGAACCGGCGGAGCGACACGCCATCCGAACGTTCTCGACCGCAGATGAGCACCCTGCTCCCTGACGGCGACGCTGCCGGCTCCAGCCGTGAGCAGACCCACCCATGGCCTGGGGCCTCGGCCGGGCTGCGCTGGCGCTTGGGCCTCGGGGACTGCCCACGGCTGCACGTGCTGGCCATGCTCCCGCCGGCCGCAGATGAGCGGCGGCACGCGGCGGAGGGCGAGGAGGGGAGGGGAGGGGGAGGAGGGGAGGGCGGAGGAGGGAGGACGAGGAGGGGAGGGGAGGGCGAGGAGGGGAGGAGGGGAGGGGAGGGAGGGAGGGAGGGAGGAGGGGAGGGAGGACGAGGAGGAGGAGGAGGAGTGGCTCCTCGACGCCCCCCGCGCGCGGCCCCCCCGCGCAGCGCCCCCCCCCCCCCCCGCGCAGCGCGCCGCCGGGCCCCCCCCGCGTCGGGCGCGGGGCGGCCGCCGCCGCGCTCTCCACCCTCCGCATCATCTTGCGCTGCTTCTCCTGCGCCTGCGCGCGCGGCGGCGGCTTCTTCGGAGGCGTCTCGGCACGCAGAAGACGGAGCCAGGACGAGGAGAACATCGGGCGAGGAGAAATCGAGAATCTCTGAGATCGGGCGGCTCTGGAGGACGTCTCGCGCGCCGCGGCTCTGGAGGACGTCTCGCGCGCCGGGGGAAAGCAAACCTACCTCGCTGTTGACCACCCTCGCTTCCAAGAGATACCAAGCGATGCCAAACTGCGGCCTGTACTGGTCAGGCTGCTTGACGAGGAGGCGCGTGGTTTAACTTGGTTTTTCCTGGAAGCGAAAGCGGGGTAGGTAATTCACGCTCTGAGTCTCGGCACGCAGAAGACGGAGCCAGGACGAGGAGAACATCGGGCGAGGAGAAATCGAGAATCTCTGAGATCGGGCGGCTCTGGAGGACGTCTCGCGCGCCGCGGCTCTGGAGGACGTCTCGCGCGCCGGGGGAAAGCAAACCTACCTCGCTGTTGACCACCCTCGCTTCCAAGAGATACCAAGCGATGCCAAACTGCGGCCTGTACTGGTCAGGCTGCTTGACGAGGAGGCGCGTGGTTTGACTTGGTTTTTCCTGGAGGCGAAAGCGGGGTAGGTAATTCACGCTCTGAGTCTCGGCACGCAGAAGACGGAGCCAGGACGAGGAGAACATCGGGCGAGGAGAAGTCGAGAATCTCTGAGATCGGGCGGCTCTGGAGGACGTCTCGGGCGCCGCGGCCTCCTCGGAGCGTTCCGGAAGGCTCTGGGCGGCCCTGAACGGATCTATCCTCGTCCTAGCTCCTTCGACACATCACCTCGAGTCATGAAACACAAAACAGGACGGGCGGTTTTCGTTATTTTCAGACTCCGAGGGGCCCTTGCCGGGCCTCGGGGCCGTCAAACAACGGCTCGGGGTGAAAAACAGGACCCAGTGAATGCGTCGAGAACTCTTCGGGCCACGGTATGAAAACAACATGACGGCAGGGGTCTGGGTCTTGTGAGGTCTTCGTCCGAACGAGTAAGGCCTGTCAAGCCTCATTTAAGGGGACACCGAGCCAGATTTGTTTCTTCCCCCGCCCCGACTCGTCCCTCGACCTTCGCGCGACGTCCCGCCCGCCTCGCGCGGGCTCGGGTCGCCCCGCCCACACCCGCGAGGCGGTCATAACCGGTCACACCGTCGCCGCGCTGAGCAGGTTGCCGAGCTCCCCGCCGGCGGCCAGGACGTCCTTAAAAAAGCTGAGCTTCGCGATCGACGGATCGGAGAACACGCCCAGGATGTCCAGCGGGTTCCCCGACAGGCCTGCCGCCACGAAGGTGTCAATGAGGGCCTTGAGCTTCGCCTTCTCCGTGCTCTGCAGGGCGTCGGCCACTGCCCTGGACACCTCCTTGACCTCTTCCAGCGGCGGCAGGAGGCCGCCATCCTTCAGCGCGGCCTGGAGGGCCACGTCCACGGACTTCAGGACCGCGACCACCTTGGGCGGGTCGCAGGCCATCAGAACCTGCACCACGGCATCCGCTGCCTTGCCGACCTTGGTCAGGTCGCCCGTGAATGCAGCCGACACGGCCTTGCCTGCCACTGGAGCGAGGTCCTTCGCGCTCAGAGACTGCACGATGGGATAACTGACCTCGGCAAACCTCACGGCGGCGTCCTCGATCTTCGTGGAGGCCGCCTGCGCTGCCGGCGCCCAGGCGGCCGCCACTGCAGCCGCGCCCGCGCAGGCCTCCGTGCAAGCCCGCGGGCCCAGGGCGCGCGGCGCGGCCGCGGGCGGGGGCAGGAAGGCCCGCCCGGCGCGCCGCTGCGCGCTCAAAGCCGCGACGGCACCCGTCAGGCACAGCAGCAGCCGCCCGGCCAGCGCTGCGCGGCACGCGCACCGGGCCTCCCGCCGAGCCCGCGCGTCGCGCTGGCCCCCGCGCGGCGGCCGCCCTCGCAGCGCCATTCGCCCTCGGGGCCCTCGGGCCTCCCCGCGCCTTGGGCCGCCCTGGAATGGCCCTTTTGAGCTAAAACGGCTACGGAAGACACCGAGCCGGATCAGGCCAGTTTCAGTACGGGATTCAGTCAGATCGAGCGGGATGGAGCCCGAGTGAACGGGAGGTTGCTTGCAGAGGACATGCAAGAGGACACAAGACCCTTCCGAGGGCCACATTGCCACAGGAAGTGTAGAAGGCATCGGTCGCGAACCACAGGACACAAGGGCACCCTTGATCAGGCAGGGTCGACCACCCAATCAGCCTCGACTGTACACCAGCGCCGATTCAGAACTTTCCCTCCCAGGAAGTGCATCCTCGGGCTTCCGCGGGCTCGAGCGCCGCGGAAGAGGCGCGGGCGGAGGTGCGCCGCCCAAGAGGCCGTGGGTTCTGTTCAGGTGTTGCCAGAGTTGTTCCTGGTTCATGGCGTCCACTAGGGGGCCACTTGCGAACCCTACCCCTACCCCCCACGATTTCTGAGGGGGAGGGTGGGGTTCACCTCGCTGGGGAGCTCTCGAACGAAGTGAACCCCACCCTCCCCCTCAGAACTCGTGGGAGGTAGGGGTAGGGTTCGCATGTGGCCCCCTATCCGCAGGACTTCTGGGGAGGCCCCGGTGGCCTCCAGACCACCCCTCGCGAGGCCCAGAGGACCCCATGGGGCTCCAAAGTGGGGCGAAGAGCTGGGGGCACCAGGACCTTGGGCCAGGGACTCCTTTGACAACCGCGACCTGTGTCGTCGGCGCTGCCCTCCTCGTCCTCCTCGTCCTCCTCCTCGTCCTCCTCCGCCTCCTCCTCCTCCTCCTCCTCCTCCTGCTGGTCCTCAGAATGCTCCTTCTTTCTCACTCCTCTAATTCCTCCTGCACTGCCTCCTCCTCTTCTTCTTCCTCCTCCTCCTCCTCCTGCTTCCCCTCCTCCGCCTCCTGCTCCTCTTCCTCCTCCTCCTCCTCCTCCTCCTCCTCCTCCT